CTATGCAAAATCATTCATTTGTTTTATACGAAATGTATTATTTGTTATGAAAATAATGTTAAACACATTTAGTAACTTTAAATTCTACTGCCATTGTTTTAAAGGGGTCATATGATGCGATTTCAAGTTTTCCTTTCTCTTTGGAGTGTTACAAGCTGATTGTACATAGATAAGATCCCTGAAGTTGCAAAGACTAAAGTCGGCCAATCTCAATGCACTGGGTCAGCTGGCCAATCAGAGCAGACTGCGCTTGTTGGAAGGAGGGACTTTGTAGAAAACGAAGCGTTTGAGAGAGGCGGGGCATATGACCCCTTTAATAAATTATGTTCCCTCACTCTCATAATATATTACATTTTAAATGATTCAAAGTTATTCCAATGATTTTTTTTTTTTAATTCTAAGGTTTGAGTTGTGTGGATAAGTATGACATGGCACAGTGTTTTCTCTGTTTTTGTTCTCAGTTCAGTGTATAATGTCAGGGCTAATGAAAAGTCATGAAAAATTTATTTCATTTTACTTAATTGCTCATGTCATTCCCAACCTGTATGACTTCTTGTATAGAACACAAAACAAGATATTTGTTGCAATGTTTGTTTGTTTCTTTTTCATGTCCATACAATGAAAATCAATAGGGTCCAAAGTTATTTTTTATCCCATTGACTTTCATTGTATAGAGACAAAACATTGATGTATGTTTTGTATGTTGATGTATGACATTATTGATGACAGAATTTTTTGGTTGAACTATCCTTTTAAGCATCAAGTCAAAAGTTTGTAACAGGGAATCATGTGGTGAAATCTCTTTCGTTTTCATTAGGGAAGGGGAAATGTAGTTAATTTTAAATAAAATAATGCCACAATACAAAAATAGTAAAGGTCCAACTCGTTAAAGAGGTATCTTTCTCTTCATGCAAGTGGTGAAAAATTTTTTTTTTTGGGGGGGGGGGGGGATTTAAAGGTGCCATAATGTCATTATCAACCCCATTATCAATAAACAACTTCTGAAGCAATCTGAAACAGATATAAAATACTAGGAATCAATGGTTACGGAGAAAAACTTGGCACCATACATTACAACTGAGGATCACACACTACTAGACTTTCAATTTCTTCAAAACACAACAAACTTTGCTAGTAGACACGTGACTAATGAAAACCCGATGTGTTTTAAAATCAGCTCAAAATGACAAACATGTTTGATATCCTCTTAATGGATGGAATCAAAATCTAAAGCTAAAAAATCAGAGTTTGTGATCATACACTGTTCGATTTACTGTGTAATATGTCAACTTCAACTGCCCAGAATCTACAGACTAGCTTTGACTTTTGGCAACTAACGTCAACTCATCCAGACTACAAATTGGGGCAAAAATCTGTCCAAAAGTCATGTCTTGCATTTTGGTCTTTAGTAATGTTCACAATGACATTTGAGAGTAGGCCAACCAACTGAAGTTTTCTATGTTTATCTATCTATCTATCTTTATTTATCTTTCACCACACAAGTAGAACCACACAAATGGGTTTCAGCAACTTTAACACAATGGTGCCGTGGAACACCACCATGAACTTATTACAGGGACAATCCCTCTGGAGTCATCTAGGGTTAAGTGCTTTGCTCAGCAGCACAATGACGATGGCTCTCGGCTCACTGCTTGCAGGGTTTAAACCAGCAACCTTCCGGATACAAACCCTGAGCTTTCGCCGCAACATCACACCACCTCATTACACTTGACAGTCATTCAGTCACAGTGTAACAGTGGTCATGTAGTGGCATCATCCAGTTCGTGTTCATCACATCTATATTTGTGTCGCACACACCTACACACCAAGTATCACACAAAACGGTGTCCAATTCGTCAATAATGACTGAAGAGGTTGACTGTCTGTCTGAGTGCTTGCTAGCTCACTAGCAGCTCTTGTCACTCTGAAATGTTCTCAAAGAAGTTTAAAACCATAGCCCACAGCAAGCTGCTGGTGCTTTCGCCAAAGTGTGACAGTTTTCTGCATCTTCCGCTTTCAGTTTTCACACTTATTTTCATCCTGTCTGCGTTTGTGTAAGTGTGTGTGTCCTACTTCAGTACAAGTGTCTCTGTGGGCTGCTACAACATCTCGCAAGAGTTCACCGTCAGCAGAAAACACGAGGCCTCATGGGATTTCCATCACACCTCTCTGACAGCCGTTCCCAAACCCTGGTGTGTTTCTAAATGTTTCTCTCTGCCCCTGCTGTGAGTGATGTGGCCTCATTAGCTGGTGATTGCTGGTTATGTAATGCCACATGATGAAGCTCAGGTTTCTGAGGACAGGTGATGTGTGAGGAGAACAAAAAGAGAAAGACAGAGAAGGGAGTTGAAGTGAAAAGTGTAGCTTCTATTGTTACTGGCTTCGAGAGGAGACCATGTACTGTTTCTCAGTTTGTGGACAGTTTGGGAGTTTTGTGTTTTTAAAGTACGCAGGACTGTGTTTGCTGTGGCAGTCTAAAAGACAACATGAAATTGCACCCACAACTGTAATAAATGTGACCTATTTTTGAGTCAAATTGCATATTTAGTGACAAATAATTTAGAGTGCGATAAAGTCTTATCATCGGGATTTGTTTTAATAGTAAAAAGTAGACCGGGTACTGATTACATCAACAGAAACATTGTTTTAGAGAGGGGGTCAAGGTTTTGCAAAGAAAAAACTGAGAAATTAATACTTTTATTCAGCAAGAATGCTTTTAATTGATCAAAAAAACACAATGTTAGAAAAGCCTTCTAATAAAGGCTGTTCTGAACTTTCTATTCATCAGAAAATGTTAAAATAAAATGTTTTATAATGCAATGCAAGTGCATGTTGCAATTCACAGCGTTGCCACAAGAGTTGTTACAGTGAGCATTAGAATAAATTGTCTTCCTCTATGGCCAGTTTTCTCCTTTTGGTCATGGCAAATCAGGGCTATGTTCCATTTAGCTTTAGACGTATATTCTGCGAACTTCCCTAATCACTTCCTCCCGGGGGAATCGCTGCAGTTGTTTTGGAAGTGTGTTCCACTTTGCACACGGGTTCCGCTATAGTGGACACTCACGCTATATAAGGCAGTGATGCACATCCAAGTCTATGAGATGGAGGGAAGTTAGCGTGAGAAGGGTATAAATACTTTGAAGTGGAATGCAACCCAGAAATTTAATAAAAATATCTTAGCTGTTTTCAGTTAGAATATCTAAACATCTATATCCATGGGAAGCAATTTATTTGTCAAGTTTGTTTCTCTTTATTTTTTATTTTTTATTTTTTTGCTTGCTTTAAGCATAAATCTAAAAAAAAACTGCCAGTGACATAAGCAAAATTTGTCTTGTTTAAGGGCGTAAAAATTTTTTTTAAAGCAAAACAAAAATACTGATTAACAATTTTTTGCATGCTTTTGCAGTTTTTGTATCTGCTCTAATAGCTCAGACATTTGAAGGTAACTGTATCTCCCCTCTTTCAGAAATGAGGTTTGTCAGCTCCACAGTAACGTCTGCGTTTGTGTACTTGAGTAGAGCATGTTTCTGGCCTCAATAAGAAAGCAATTTGGGTTCATTTAACAAAGTTGTCTTTAACGCAGTATGTCTCAGTGTTCTCCTGACAAACCGCATAAACTTAAACTAAACTCAAGGCCTTTGTATTTCTCACACACACAACACTTCTTTGCCCACAGACTCTCTCTTTCTGTCACACACACAAACCCCATCTCGCTCATTTCCTTTCTCACTCTTCTCATTTCGTCCTTGACCAGCCAAGAATGACGTAAATGTTTGACATTGCAATTTTTCTCCAATTCCAGCATCCCTCCTCATTCTCGCCCATCTTTCTTTTTTTCTTTTTGTCTGTCTTTCATTCTGCTCCTTCTGTTGACAGACATCCATATGACCATTTGCATCCAGGTGAAATGGGAATGCATTGTTTACCATTTCAAAACCCTACGCACGCCTTCCTACAAATGCATTTTCATCCCTCTCTCCTCAGATAAGACTTCAGCTGCCCTATCCTCATTTTTCCTCGCTCTCCGTCTCTCTATCTCTGTCTCTCTTTCAGGTGAGGCAGTTTTTCCACAATGCTTTCTATTCACGTCAAACACATTTCAAATACAGCTCAGATTTCCACTACAAACCCACTGCAAGGACACAGAGCTGTGCATGAGAAAAAGGGGAGAACTGAGCTCTGCGATGCTGTCCCACCCCCCATCCCCCAGAGTGTTTGTGTATACATACATACATACATACGTGTGTGTGTGTGTGTGTGTGTGTGTGTGTGTGTGAAAGAGAGAGAGAGAGACCAATATTATGTTTTGTCAAAAAAATACATCTTAATATTTCTGTAAATTATAGTTCTTAAAAATTTCTAAATATTATGTGTATTTCAATTACTTTTGAGAGTCACATCGCAGCTTGTGAGGTTTATGGTCTCTTAATGTGACCACTACCTAGTATTTAGATAGCTAAACTATTATTGTGTGTGTGTGTGTGTGTGTGTGTGTGTGTGAGAGAGAGAGAGAGAAAGAGAATATGCAGGATCTGTTGTCTAACAAAGGAAGTCATCTCATAAATTAACTAGATTTCTCTGAAGGAGTGTCAGGAAATGATGGAGGTTCAGGTCTTGGTATGTTCGTCGGTAATTAAGTTTATAAGATGAAAATGTGTGCGTGTTGGATGTCAGGAGCCCACGCTGGGCAGGCTTCGGTCAATTGTTTGTGTGTCTGTGTGTGATGAATAGCCCCTGCCACCAAATGAATTGCCCGCATTGGGTGCAGCAACTGATCATTGCATTAAATTGGCACTGGAAGCAAGGAGCAAAGACCCCTAGGAAATTAGCCAACCACAATTCACCTTGACCCAGTAGGCCACACGTTCACTCTCACTCACATGAGCTTGAATGTTCACAAGCATTAATGCACAGCATATGAACACGTCGATTCCCCAGGCAATGGTAATGCTAACGTGTCTCTCTCTCTCTCTCTCTCTCTCTCTCTCTCTGTCTTCCAGGTTACCTGACGGACAGGCCGATGGTGGTGCCAGAGCCGTGGGTAAACTACGCAACCTTGAAGAGCAACTGATAAGAGCTAAGGAAAAAATCAACTCTTACCGCAGCCTCCCTGCTGATGGTGTGTAA